GGTGATTATTATGAAAAGCTAGTTGCATGATATTTTCTTAGGGAAAAGTGGATTTGATTCCCCTCCATTTCTCATTCTCTCAATTTTCCCAAGTTCTTATTTAGATTTATAACACTTGTCCTCTTTACATATTAATGGTCCAGATTTATTTAACTATCAAATAGTCTTAATCATGATTAACATGCCTTTATTTTAGGAAAAAAAAATACTCTCTAACTTTAGTATGAAATCTTCATCTCCAAAAATAATATTAAGAATACACAGACTAAATGAAGATAATATGTAACTTATTTGCCTACTCGGCGTAGATTTTAACCACACACAAAAAAAGGTGGAATAAATTGCTGCAATATATATCTAAAATTTGACATTATCGCCTCTATTTGTTTTTGTTTTTGTTGAGAAACTTTCTTAACAGTTGTACATCATTGGATAAAAAAAATCTTAAGGTAACTAGTTTTTCCACTAGCAGAAACTGAATGGAAGACATGAAGTCACCCATTTAACAGGGAACAAATATGAAGTTGAAACGTATTTATCAATAGCCAAAAAAAAATAGTATTTCCGTATTTTGTTAGGCAAATACTTTAATAATATTTTTGGAGATAATGATTTCTTACTAAAGTTCTAGAGTATATTTCCTAAAATAATGGTAATATCAACCTTATTAACCATGATTAAGATTTTTTGATAGTTAATTAAATCTGGACCATTAATATGCAAAGAGGACAAGTGTTCATAAATCTAAATAGGAACTTGGGGAAATTGAGAGAATGAGAAATGGAGGGGAGTCAAATCGGGGAAAAGTGGTATCATATTTTCTTCTCTCTTTCCTTTGTTAGATGACCAGATGCAATATCTAGTTAATACACTATCACACATAACATAATGAGAGTAAATAAGTCAATTAGAATAAAAAAAAACGCCATTTTTTTTTTACTTAAGACTCTTAACAATGATATACTAAACAAATTGTAGAACGCAAACTGACAAATTAACTACCATACACTCACCTAAAAAATGGGGAAAACACAAAACTAATAAGTGGATTCCATTTTAAAGCTTGAGATTTTAGAAGAGAACCTGCCATTATAAAGCACATTTTTTTTTCCTTTTAGAGCCTAAGGCGTTACACAAATGTACCTTTATAAAAAAGGTAGTAGTAATATATTTTTTTTAGAAAAGTATTAAAAAATGTAGTAATATTGTGGTACAAAATGATTCCTTTTTACAGTTCACACACACCTTAACTTCCCATGCAAAGTACTTTAACAAATATTTCGCAGAACCATGACAAGGAGTACCCTCAAAATACTCCATTTTAGTTTCTAAAAGAAAATTGCATAGTTTCATAAAACTCAGTCTTTCTCTCTGTGGAACCAAACCATCCATTTTAATCATCTCAAGCAAATGGAATTTCCTCCTAGTATGCTATCTTCTCATGTTTTTTAATGCATTGTTTCGTATTGACTCCTTAATACTAATAAATCTTTTTTTTTTTACCAGTTATTCCAGCACCAGTAATGTATAAGAATCAGCTACAAGAGTACACACAAAAATTGGCCAAACCGCTCCCAATTTATCACACAGTTAATGAAGGTTTTACACATGCGCCAAAGTTCAGATCAACAGTCTTGGTTGATGGATCCAAATACGAATCAATATCAACTCATCCTACTAAGATTCAAGCTGAGCAGGCAGCAGCAAAACTAGCTTATGAATGCATTTGCAAAAAAAATGATGCTACAGAATGTTCACTTCTTTATAGGGTACTCTTCACTTGTTTCTTTTTGTTAATATCTAAACATTTCTCTTTTGCTTAAAATACATTACTTATTTCACTTTCCTGTTTGTCTTTGTTTTTTTTGTGTGTGTGTGTGTGTGTGTTCAAGGAACCTCTGTTGTGTAAATCCATTCTTTATGAATTTGCTATCAAGAAGAACCTGAGAAGGCCTATATATAACCCCGGATATGAAGGGGCAAGTTCAGTTTTTATTTCCTCTGTGTCTTTGGGGTTTAGAACTTACAAAGGTGAGGAAGCTGGAAGTAAGAAAATGGCAGAGCAAGTAGCTGCTCGAGCCGCTATTGAATCACTCTTAGGTATGTTGATTTACTGGTTTTTTAATTCTATGTCAAAGCTTAAAGGCTATTTCTGTGCAAAGACCTGTTGTCTAACCTCTAAAAATCTTGAAGAAACTGATGATGGAACTCTTTCCCAAATCATTAAGTCCAAAGATAAGTTCCATCCTGGTATACAACCCAAAAAGGAAGCTGGCTCTGATGAGAAAATCTTACCCAACTACTCTGGTTAGAAAATCCTAACTATAATTGATTTTTTTTGAAAATTATACTTGTTGAGTCACGTCTTGTGTTGTTCTGAATAGGTAATTTACAAGGCCAAAAAGATAAGTGCCATCCTGGTATAGAAATAAAAGATGAAGCTGGCTCTGGTGAGAAAATCATGCCTAAGTACCCTGGTGAGAAATCCTGACTATAATTGTACTTTTATGAAAATTATACTCGTCGAGTCACATCTCATGTTGTTCTGAACAGGAAATTTACAAGGCCAAAAAGCTAGCATTGAGGTAAAACACATTTCTTCATTTGCTGCTTAAAATATCAAGTTTGATCTAGCTTTGTAAATGAAATATAGTAAAGGTACTGAGAGGGAGTGCTCATTTATAATACATTTCTTCATTTACAGCGAGCAGTGGTTTGTTTCAAATCTGATGGGGCTGTTGGTAAACCTGGAAGTGGACCAAAGCGTAAACACGAAACCAACAACTGGGGAAGGAACAAAATGAAAAGATTTGGTTATTGATACTTTGACTGTAAATGCCCGTCTTAAAACTAGGTAGACTTGATAACTGTTGACCTGAGTGGGATCATGAACTTATTCTGCAAGATTTAACTCATCTCTGTATGAATTAGACGATACAGTATTTCATATGCTGCTATTCTTTAACTGCATTATCTGCTAAATGCTATTGATTAAGAAACATCCACTGTTAACAAGGATTATAAAGAAAAACATAATCATGAAAATAGATTATAATGGTCCCAATCAGAGAGAAGAGCAAGCAGGTTTCTAAGTCCTATTTAGGCTATTCCAGATTTATGTAAATCTACATGTGTAACCTCCCGAGGACAAACTGTATGGTACATCAACAATTTACCATATTAAGCCTTAAACACATTTTGATAAAAAAAAAAAGCCTCAAACACATTGCTAGGCTAAACCTCTCGCTTCCAATTACTCCAGAAATCCAACTGAAGGCTTAAGGTTATTCTTTCTGCTTGCTGCCTCAGAGTCAGACTGGTAGTATAGTACTTTCTCCCGTGTGTTCACAATCTCCTTGGTTGTATCTTTCACAGCTTGAGTAAAATTTAAACATGAACCACAGCCACTTTATACAAATGTTAAGATTAGTTAAAACTTTTCTGAATTGTATCACAGCCAACCAAAATCCTCAAAGAAGCTCTCTATTATTGAAGGGCTGATCGGGGTTCCAAAACTAGACAAATGTTTCTTGATATCTCTTGTTCAATTATAGAGTTGGTCCATCCCAGTATCCCCTTGACTGCTATCCTGCCTTACTATGTCAGGATAAATGATACTACTCCGAGTGGAAACAAAGTGGCTTGAGCAGATATATGTTCACATCCATATCCAAAACACTTCCTATCGGATTCACTTACCTGATCAAAGTATTTTCTATCATCAGGCAATGTGGCTTTTTCCACCATTTTGTTCAGTCTGTCGATTTCTTACTCTTTTCTTCCTGAAACTGAATGTAACTAGTTTAGAAACACAAACACCACAAATTACAGAGACTGTTCCATTTCTGCTTTGAATAGAGTGACAATTATCATAAGTGACTCTCAGCCGAACAGTTGATCATAGGAAGAAAAATTTAGGATGAAGGAAATTTCTTTATCTTTTGCTTTCAAAACTCAGAAGGACATACCAGTACCAATGACAACTGAGTATGGTGATTGTCTAGTCATCCAACAAATGTCCACCTCAGCTGTTCCTGAAAAGATGTATCATTACTTGTCTCATGGCTGCAGATTAGGTTAACTTTAGGGCAAAAGTAATATTAGACAGCAGAAATTCTGTTAGTAAGCAGATTTTGAAGAGAGGGCCATCATGTGTAAATACTGAGCCACAACAAATCATTGCCACTTAGCTAGTGGTGCTGAAAGAAGTAGGAAATCAATCAGTGGAGCTTGGTATAGATCAATTTTCTGGTTTATGATATACAATGAACAGTCACTGTCATACATTTGGGGCAGACAGATGCAGAGATTAGGCCTGTCAAGAATCTATCAGCCAGAGAACAGAGGAACAAAGATTCAGTACTTCAAAAGTGGTACCCGATTTATGTGAGAGGAACAACTGCTCAACCCCTCCTACACATTCACCTGATTCTTTTCTTCCTGTCGGATCTCTGATAAACTTAAGGCAACTATCCTCCTCTTTTTGCTATCGGTACTTCTTTCATATTCTCCATTGCTATCTTCGGTTTACTTTTCTAAATATATTGTCTTGCTATTACTTGCTATCAGTGCTTCTTCCATCTTCTTTAGCCAAGGGTCTATCAGAAACAGTCTCTCTGCCCTTCCAGGGTAGGGGTAAGGCTGCATACATCCTACCTTCCACAGACCTCACTTGTGGGATTACACTGGGTTGTTGTTGTTGTTGTTGTTGTATGCTTAAATGCAAGGATGATGAACCATATATCTCAGCACATCTCCTTTCTACCAACATCAATGAGGAGATAACAGATCGTACACACCAAACAACAAGAAAGGAGTTACCCCTCTGCTGCGCAGTTGCTTCAATAAAAAGTTTCTCATGTCTCCTGGATAGAGGAAGAACTAAAAACAAGTGCTTGCGCTGTGCTTCCCCGTGTGGATCAACTATATATTCTCAACATGTATGGAGATGGCCTCATGGCCAGCGCAATAGCAAATATTACAGCCGCTGAAATCTACTGGTAAACTTTCACACTCCAGTACTACCAATAGTCTCCACAGGTACAAACACCTCCACTGAAGTGATGAAAACGGTTATTATCCCGAATGATTATCAATCTACCCACAATCTTTGATATGATCTTGATAGCAGTATGACAATCTCCACAAACCCTTAAATTTTTCATCACACGAATTGGTCTCCCAGATGGTACGTTTAGAATTGCAAAAGCAACGGCTAATTTTTCGCTATGATACTTGAGCATGTGTGCCTTCTCCTCTTCATCCACATCATGCAGGACCAATTTCGTGGCAGAGACATAACCCTCCTGCTTCATTAGTAACTCTAACTCTTCCAAGAAAGCATATATTCTTTTGCTGTCTGGATGCATGGTATCCCCAACTGAAAAAAGATGAATCTGATTTTGCAACTCAACCCAGCTGTAACCAGGCATTTTCCTTACACCTGTATCCCTCATTTTTAATCTCATCTTGCTAACATCACGCCATCTACCAGAAGCTGCATATAAATTTGAGAGGAGGACATACATCCCTGCATTCCAAGGCTCTAAACTGAAAATCATTTCAGCAGCCTTTTCTCCTAATTCAGTATTTCCATGGATCCTACTTGCCCCAAGGAGAGCACCCCAAGTTGCAGCATCTGGTTCACAAGGCATGTCCTTCATTAGATTTTGAGCATCATTCAGACGCCCAGCTCGTCCCAGAAGGTCAATCATGCAAGTGTAGTGTCTCGGGTTTGCAGTTATTCCATAATCGCGATCCATGGAGTAAAAGTATTCCATGCCCTTGTCAATCAGGCCAGTATGGCCACAAGCAGACAATACACCAACCTATAAAGAAAAGGACAAATAAAAAATGAAACCTAAATAACTGTATGTATAAAATAAAAAAAAAAAAAAAGAAGAAAAAAACATGCACATAAGAGGGAAGTATTGAGACTACAAAGATTGTATCAAAACCCTACATCAGATGATGGTTGGTCTCCGTAGTGTGACTGTTCAACTAGAAAGAATGGAACATGCAAAGGTAACCCACAACACACCGGAGCAATCTTTACATACAATCGCATTAAGCAATTAGGGATGAAGTGGTTTTGAACAGTTCCATAAATGTAAAAGCAGTTCTAAAATAATCTTGAAATCATTTTCCAAAATTAATAATGTATCAACATTACCATGGTGACATCATCAGGTTTGAAACCCACTTCTTTCATTGATTTGAATAGTTGAAGAGCTTGTTTGCCAAAACCATGCCTTGCATAACCAACGATCATTGTATTCCAAGAGACAGCATCTTTCTCCTCTATTTCCTCGAATACATCATATGGCTCATCAATGCTTCCACACTTACAGTACATTGCTAGGAGCGCATTTCCCACGTAACAACCAGTGTGATATCCAGCCTTCACAAGCAGTCCATGTATTTGCTTTCCTAATTCGAATGCAGCAATGTTAGCACATGTACTCAAAGCGCAAGTAAATGCCGACCTATTTATCCTCCCGCCATCTCTTTTCATCTCCACAAACATGCGCAATGCCTCCTCACTATTGCCACTTTGAGCATATCCAGCAATAATTGCTGCCCAAGAGATGCAATCACGACATGGCATACAATGAAATAAACTTCTGGCACTCATGATATCCCCATTTTGAGCATAACCTGTTATCATTGTGTTCCAAGAGCTGACGTTCTTACAAGGCATTGCGTCAAAGAATTCCCTCGCCAAGTCCATCCTCTTAGACTGCACATATCCTGCAATCATTGCATTCCATGAGATCTCATTCTTCTCTGGCATCTCATCAAAAATCCTTCTGGCCTCATCTACCAGCCCATTCTGTACATAACCAGAAAGCATTGAAGTCCACGTAAATACGTCTCTAATAGGGGACTCATCGAACAACTTCCTCGCTTCCTCCAAATTATCATTCTGGGCATAACAAGAAATTATTGTGTTCCATGAGACCTGATCCTTAACAGGCATTCTATCAAAAAGCACCCTCGCCTCAGCCAATAACCGCTTCTTCAAATACCCGCCCAACAAGCAATTCCAAGAAACCAGCGGCCAATTGTCCTTTGACTCAAACAATTTCCTCGCTTCCTCAATCCTCCCATTCTGAACATACGTAGCCAGAAGTCCATTCCATGAGATTTCATTCTTCACAGGCATCATGTCAAATATCCTTTTAGCATCAGCAATGTACCCATTCTGGGCATACCCAGAAAGCAAAGCATTCCACGAAACAACATCTTTAACAGGCATTTGATCAAACAACATCTTAGCTGCCCCAAAATTCGTACTCTTGATATACCCACTAAGCATGATGTTCCAGGATACCAAGTCTCTTTGAGGCATTTCATCAAACAACTGCTGAGCGAGGTCCAATCTGCCGTTCGACAAGTACCCAGATATCATTGCATTCCAGGATACACACGACTTGGCAGGCATGGAATTAAATAAGCGCAGTGCGGAATCGCATTCTCCTTGTCGCATGTGTTGGGTGATGGTCCTGTTCCATTGAACTATATCCGAGCTACTGACTTTTTCTGCCTTCGCCGGTGGTTTACCGCCGGATATCTTGGGACTTTTTCTGTGTGGTAATTCTGCTCTGAGATGAGTCGCCGGTTCGTTTTGCAGTGAACGCGAACAAATGCTGTGCAATCTTCTGAAGCGCATTTTGAAATCTCGTACCATTGGTCTAAACAGTCAGACCATTATTTTCAAACTCTGTACACTTTGGCGGGAGGTAGTTGCACGTCTATTGATCAGATGATGGGCCATCTTGAGCCCAAAAAGCCATCTTGGGCCAACAAGTCAGACTGTACAAATTCGATTCTAGCCCGCCGAATGTTATTAAAATGAAAGTTTAACTCATAAATTGGCAATATTCAAAAGATATCTACGAATAACTCTCTAAAAGAAGTGAAATTTATATCTTGAAAAATTAAGTCAATGTTATTGTTACCTACTTACATGTAAAGGTGACCAGATAAGTTGAACTCTTTCTTTTTTACAAGAAAAGAAAGAAAGTGAATTGACTTTTTTTCCCAAGATACGATTAAAATTCAAATAGCAAGTTGTCTTATAGCATGTTTGGCCAAGCTTCTTCCGGGTCAAAAGCACTTTTTTCGAAATTGAAGTGTTTGGCTAAATTTTCAGGAGAAAAAAAAGTATTTTTGAGTAGAAGCAAAAGCAGTTTTGGAGAAGCAGAAAAAAATAGTTTCTCCCTAGAAGCACTTTGGAGAAAATACACTTAAAAGCACTTTTTAAAAGCTTGGCCAAACACTAATTGCTGCTCATATATGTTTTTAAAATTAATTAGCCAAACATAAACTGTTTCTCACCAAAAGTACTTTTGAGAAAAGCACTTTTAAAAAAATTACTTCTCAAAATAATAGCCTGTTTGGCCAAGCTGCAAAAAACAGCTTATTTTGAGAAGTGTTTTTTTCAAAAGTGTTTTTCTCAAAAGTACTTTTGGTGAGAAGCAGTTTGTGTTTGGCTAATTAGTTTAAAAAGCACTTCTGAGCAGCAATTAGTATTTGGCCAAGCTTTAAAAAACTGTTTCTAAGTGTATTTTTCTCAAAAGTGCTTATCAAAAAAGTGCTTGTGGAGAGAAGCTACTTTTTTGTGCTTCTCCAAAACTGCTTCTGCTTCTCCTCAAAAGCACTTTTTTCCTTCCAAAAGCTTGGCCAAACACCTCAAATGTTGGCCAAAAGTGCTTTTGGAAAAAAAAAAAAAAAAAGCACTTTTGGCCAAAAAGAAACTTGACCAAACAGGTTATAAGCTGATTTTAGAAACATGAACAAACAGGCTATTAGAATTAAAATGAAATATTGGTGCCTGCAGAAAAAGGCAACGGAATTGGGCAAAGATCACTATTATCCCATGACCAAAATTATTTATATTCGATTACCACAAAAATATATAAAATTTGTATATTTTTTATATATAGCATACATAAATACATACATAAATATTTTCCTTGCTTTAGTCATGAGTTGACTGAAAAGGATCATCAGGAGCATTTAAGCCACAGGACTAGTTTAGAGTCCAAACAAAATTAAAACAAAAGGCACATTCTGGACTGATCTAATCACATATACCGCTAGAAAATTGAAGATTGAATTGTGTAGACCGATTATTTTCTTATTTCTAGCATCAATACTTTACAATTTACAACTTTAATAATTAACCATACTTAGCAAAGTTCAAATCTTTGGCGTAATCAATAATCTTACTAGCATAAACTGAAAATTCCGACCAAATAATGAGAACTTTGACTCTGTCCAATTTCTTCAAATTGTGAGACTTGTCTTCTTTGGTAGACGAAAGTAATATAATCATTATAATATTCAATGATAATAATAAGAATTAAGTGCTAAGGCCCAAGGGCAGGGAGGAGAACAAACCCGAGATCTTGTGAAAATAACACGGGCTAGTTAGTTTTCGGATTGGTAATAGAAAAATAGTCAACGTTTGTAAAGTCATTGAAAAATAGCCATTGTTTTGCTGAAACACAGAAAGTTCCAGTATAATGTGCGGGATTATGGAGCTCTTGCTTATAACTTCCTGCATATTATGTTGGAACTCCAGCATGGAAAGTTGCAGCATAATATGGTGGATTATGGAGATCATGTATATAAACTTCCCCTATATTATGTTGGAACTCCAGCACATTATGAAATTTCGGCACATTATATTTGAAGCTCATATGCAATGTTTTAAAAGGCGGGGGCGTGAGGCGAGTCGTTTTACCTCTGACGAGGCGAGGCGTAAGCCCTGAGACATGGGGCGTAAGTCCCACGGATCTTTAAATTTTACTAATTTCAAGAATTTTAAGATAGTATAAAAAAAATTATAAAAATTACATTAAAATCACAAAATTATAACAAATAATCTATTTAAAATATTTATAAATTATAATTCAATAAATAATACGAAAAGTATGACATATATCACAATATGCAAATTAGTTGCAACGTCGTTACAGCTCAAACATCAAAAGTAATATATTCGATACGAAATCTTATATGTATCTCTTAAGGAGTAATGAATCTTGAAAGAATTTCGATATTATAATTTGATATTTTTCTTAAAATACTCCTTCTATTTAATATGCTTTGTATTTGAAAGAGAATTTATATAAAAATATAATTCACAATTTAAATGTGATTCTCAAGCATCGTTCATTTTTAAGTTTCAACAAGTTCATAAAGTGACACATAATTCATCATACAATACCACGATAACTAATTATTTGTAAATAGTTGCTAATACTGAGCTATTAAATTAATAAGTATAGTATCTCATAAACACGAAAAAAAAAATATTTAGAAATATAATTATAAAAAAATTATGGATTATTATATAGTAAAGACATACAAAAGTTAATAAATAAATACTTTAAAAATGAAAGATTTATTTAAAATTAACTGTCATAGCAGTCTTAGTGGATAAAGTGCAATAATTTTTATTTTAATTATGACATAAAATAGTCTAAACTTAATGATTTATAATTAGGAAAAAAGTAATTTTGAATAGTCAACGATTTATTAAGAAAATTTGAGGATTTACAAGGTTAGTTACATACAATTGCATAAAGTTCTATTACGCGAGCCCAGTACGCTGGGCGTTAGGCGTGTCCGGGGCGTAAGCCCCAATGGCTGAGGCGTAAGTCTCACGAAACTAAGCCCCACACATAAGCCCGGGGGCGTTTTACGAGTGCTCCGCCCCGAGGCGTGCATCGGGCGAGTCCCAATTCTGCCTTTTAAAACAGAGCTCATATGTAAAAGAATTCGAACTCCATCATATTATGCTAGAATATTTCTGGATTTTTAAGGGTGTTTTTGTTCAAATTTTATCTTTATATGAAAAAGTGAATAAATTTCGATTATTTTTGAAACTATAACTATTTTCAATTACTAATTGTAAATCTGATTATTTTTTATTTTTTTCGCGAGATTTTCCCTTTTGTGTCAATTGGATTGTAGCCCAACACACTGTTTTGAAAAGAGCCCATATCGTTTCTATACTATGACGGGGCTGCATACTTGGGCCCGCAATTAAAGGGCGATGTGCACAAATAGCCACTAACAGCTCTTGTCTTTATTTTAAAGCCAGTGTTTTAAATGTCTTTAGTCTTTAGCCACTGGTTTAATAAATTTTAACTGCCCGGACAAAAATACCCTTCTGCTCATGTCCTTAACTTCAGGACTTCAGGACTACATGTCCTTAACTTTTGAACTTGAAACTCTAAGTTCAGGACTTCAAGACTACATGTCCTTAACTTTTTAACCTGTAACTCTAGTTCAGGACTACATGTCCTTAACTTTTGAACTTGGAACTCTAAGTTCAGGACTTCAAGGCTACATGTCCTTAACTTTTGAACTTGGAACTCAAACTTCAAGACCAAACGTCCTTAACTTTTGAACTTGTAAGTCAAAGTTAAGGACCTATTATCCTTAACTTTTGAACTTGTAACTGTAAGTTAAGTATTACTTGTCCATAACTTTTGAACGTGTAACTGTAAGGTGGTATTTAGTTTTTATCCTACTCCTTTGTTCTCCTTTTAATTGCGTAGAAATGGCATGGGGTAGCCACTATTTAAGGTGGTATTTAGTTTTTATCCAGCAATTCTAATATTGAGCAAAAATAGCCACTACCCTATTAAAATTAATATGAAAAGACATTTTTACCCTTTCTTCCCTTGCTTTTCTTCCCAAACCCTCAGGGATGGATGATGTACGCTCCACTACCATCATCTACCATGATGGTAGTGGCTATTAATTTAATAACATTCTGTTACCACCCACTACACATTCTTCTTTCTAGCTTATGTTGTTGTTGTGTCATCATTGATCTTGACAGATATTTGAACTTTTCACTTTCCATTTTCACAAAATTTTGTAGATTGTTCGTTGCGACCTCTAGTCTTTTTTTGGGGATTGACAGGCATTTGAATGTTAATTACAGATATAGAGTAACAGTAAACAGGGCTATGACTTTCTCTTAATTGTGGCATAGTTTGGTATAGAAAACTGTAAAAGCAATGGAAAGTGCTCGCTTGTATAATGTATTTGAAACTTCCAATCATAGCTGGACGGTTTTTCTGATAATCTGTCTGTTGATTATACCATGGATTACTGGAGAAGGTTCGTTACTTTTATATATATTTGTTAAACTGAGAATAGATTGTTGCTAATGATTTATTACTTTCAAAGTCCCCTTTTTCTTTTTCATCGTATGAATTTAGAATTGGATAATATAGTTTAACTAGCTTATTTATACTTTACAGAGCGCAATATGTGTTTTACCATTTGTGTGCCTATTCTGTTACCACCCACTACCATCATCTAGCAAAATACACACATCTTGGATGTATAAAGGACAATTAGTCCTTAACTTAGAGTTCCAAGTTCAAAAGTTAAGGAGACTTGGTCCTGAACTTAGAATTACAAGTTCAAAAGTTAAGGGCACTTGGTCATGAACTTAGACTAACAAGCTCAAAAGTTAAGGACAATAGGTCCTGAACTTACAGTTACAAGTTCAAAAGTTAAGGACAATAGGTCCTTAACTTTGATTTCCAAGTTCAAAAGTTAAGGACAGACAGTCCTTAACTTACAGTTACACGTTCAAAAG